CTCACTCACCCACCCACTCACTCGCTCACCCAACCAACCCACCCACCCACTCACTTGCTCACCCATACACCCACTCACTCGCTCACCCACCCACACACTCAACCACTACACTGCAGGTCCCAACAACACACTCACTCGCTCACCCATACACTCACTCGCTCGCTCACCCACACTCACTCGCTCACTCGGTACCCTAGGGTCAAGGGCCCCAGACAGCAGCACGGCTTAACGCTGAAGTGTGGTCGACATTGGGGGGGGGGGGGGGGGGGGGGGGCGGTACCCTTGGTGGAGCGCAGGATGCGGTCGATGAGCACCGGGTACTTGGTGATGCGCTGGGTGACGAGCAGGATGCACTCCTGCACCCCGAGACGCCGCACCAGCGCGTTGGAGCCCTGCCGCTGCACGGCCACACGCGCACACAGACACGCGTTAACACGCACGTTAACACGCACACACGTTAACACGCACGTTAACACGCACGCACGTTAACACGCACGTTAACACGCACACATGCACGTTAACACACACACACGTTAACATGCACGTTAACACGCACACACACGCACGTTAACACACACACACGTTAACACGCACGTTAACACACACGCACGTTAACACACACACACACACGTTAACACGCACACACGCACGCGCACACACGTTAACACGCACGTTAACACGCACACACGTTAACACACACACACACACGTTAACACACACACACGTTAACACACACGTTAACACGCACACACACGTTAACACGCACACACGCACGCGCACACACACACGTTAACACGCACATTACCACGCACACACGCACGCACATTAACACACACACACACGCACGTTAACACACACGTTAACACGCACACACGTTAACATGCACACACCCGCACGTTAACACGCACACACGTTAACACGCACGTTAACACGCACGCACGTTAACACACACGTTAACACGCACGCACGTTAACACGCACGCGCAGACACCCCGAGCCACTGCACCAGCGCGTTGGAACCCTGGCGCTGCACGGCGACACGCGCACACACACTCGTTATCACGCACGCACGTTAACACGCACGTTAAGACGCAACGCACGTTAACATGCACGCACGCTAACACGCACGCGCAGACACACACGCACACGTTAACACGCACGCACGTTAACACGCACGTTAACACACACACACACGTTAACACACACGCACGTTAACACGCACGCGCAGACACACACGCGCACGTTAACACGCACGCACGTTAACACGCACGTTAACACACACACACGTTAACACGCACGCACGTTAACACGCACGCGCAGACACACACGCGCACGTTAACACGCACGCACGTTAACACGCATGTTAACACACACACACACACACGTTAACACGCGCGCACATTAACACGCACGCGCAGACACACACGCACGTTAACACGCGCACACAGACACGCACGCATGTTAACACGCACGCGCAGACACACGCGCACATGCACGCGCACACACACATGCGCATTAACACACATGCGCAGACACACACACGCGCAGACACACACACGCGCAGACACACACACGCGCAGACACACACGCGCAGACACACACACGCGCAGACACACACACGCGCAGACACACACGCGCACATGCACACACACACACATACAGACAAAACAAACACACACGCACACACACACGCACGAGACAGCGTGCGTCACACGGCAGAGTCGGTCACGTGACACTCATGGTCACGCACGGCAGCCTGGCCGAGCAGTGACCGATCTCATCCAATCACTGAGGTGCGTGTACATGCAGTGTGTGCAGTGTGTGCGCAAGCGTGTGTGTGTGCACATGTGTGCGCATGCGTGTGTATGCGCACGTGTATTGCGTGCTGCATGCGTGCGAGTGTGCGTATGCGTACATGCGCTGCATGCGTGCGTGCACGTGTGTACGTATGTTTGTGCACGTGTGTGCGTACGTGAGTATGTGTGTGCGTGCGAGTGTGCGTGCGTGCTGGTGTGTGCACGTGCGTGTGTGCTGGTGTGTGCACGTGCGTGTGTGTGCGCGTGTGTGCGTTTGTTTGTGCATGTGTGTGCGTACGTGCGTATGTGTGTGCGAGTATTCGTGCGTGTGTGCTGGTGTGTGCACGTGCGTGTGTGTGCGCGTGTGTGCGTATGTTTTTGCACGTATGTGTGTGCGTGTGGGTGTGCGTGCGAGTGTGCGTGCGAGTGTGCTGGTGTGTGCACGTGTGTGTGTGCGAGAGCGCGTGCGAGTGTGCGTGCGAGTGTGCGTGCGTGTGTGCTGGTGTGTGCACGTGTGCGTGTGCGAGAGCGCGTGCGAGTGTGCGTGCGTGTGTGCGTATGTTTTTGCACGTATGTGTGTGCGTGTGGGTGTGCGTGCGAGTGTGCGTGCGAGTGTGCGTGCGTGTGTGCTGGTGTGTGCACGTGTGTGTGTGTGCCGCACCCGGATGAAGCTCTGGAACTTCCTCTCGCGAGCGAAGTTCTCCTTGTAGAAGCGCACGGCCTCGCAGTGCTGGCTGCAGAAGTCCCCGTAGGTGTCCTTCATCGCGTCGCCGTTGTCGTCCGAAAACTGGGAGCAGCGGAGGGGGGGGGGGTAGCGACAGCTCAACCACCACACCACTCAACCACCGCACCACTCAACCACCGCACCACTCAACCACCGCACCACTCAACTACCCAACCACCGCACCACCCAACCACCGCACCACTCAACCACCCAACCACCGCACCACTCAACCACCCAACCACCGCACCACTCAACCACCGCACCACCCTAGCCGCAGCGCGACGCGAGCTGGCGTGCAGCCTGAATCCCACGCACTCACCGGATCCCCGGCTCCAGTTCTTCAGTTTCAGTTTCATTGATTAGGATTTACCCTGTGAGCCATTCGGCTCTTGATTTGGGTGCAACCGCAACAAACGATACAATTACAAGATACACCTACAATTCACCACCAAATCCAAAGCAGCCGAATGCCCTGGACGCGCGGTGACGTCGATTCTAAACGCAAAGGGAAACACCGGAGATTCCGGACAAAAAAATCCACGCGACCACGGGGAGAGAGAGAGACACGCAAACTCCAAATATGCAGCGGGCATCAGGGTCGGGATCGAACTCGCGACAACCTCCTGTATACCGGGCGAGGTAGTTAACGTCTCCTAGCCACCGTGATGATGATGATGAGAGAGAGACACGCAAACTCCGAATACACAGCAGGCGTCAGGGTCAGGATCGAACCCACGACCTCCTGTACACCAGGCGAGGTAGTTAACATCTCCTGGCCACCGTGATGATGATGATGAGAGAGAGACACGCAAACTCCGAATACACAGCAGGCGTCAGGGTTTAGGATCGAACCCACGACCTCCTGTATACCAGGCGAGGTAGTTAACATCTCCTTGCCACCGTGGCTTCTGCCTTCACCGGCACTCTCTCCGGCCGCGACACAAACGAACCGGCGTAGCGCGTCGGTCGGTGACCACCGTCCCGACGGACCGGCCGCGTTCTCCGGGACCCACGGTGGCCGGGAGACGTCAACTACCTCGCCTGCTACGCAGGAAGCCGTGGGTTTGCGTGTCTCTCTCTCTCTCTCTCCCCGTGGCCGCATGCTATTTTTCTCCGGGTCCTCTGGTTTTCCCCCCTCCACGTTTAGAATCGACGCCGCCACGCGTTTCTAAACGTATTTGCCCGCTGCTGTGAAGTTCCACACGACGACGATAAGCCACACTCGGTAAAAGCCGTCGTTTGCCATGGCCAGCTGGCTTCTGAAAAAGAGCTGCACATGCAGCAGCTCAGTCGGAAGCTCGCGCCTCGTCAAATAACAAGTTTAGTTTTAAATAAAATAAAAAATTAGTTTATAGTTTTAAATTTCGATTTAAAGCTTTCGTGACTGCAGGGATTCATCTTCTTGGTTCTTTCGGTAAAGTCACGTAGAAATAAATTAATAAAATAATAAAAATACAACATAATAAAATAATTCTCACGACGTTTCGGCCACAACGCAAGCAGCCGTCTTCAGGTGAAGAACAGGTCTGTCAAGGAGACAGAATCCGACAGACCTGTTGATATGCAAATTTCTTTGTCAAGGTGCCCTTCCTCCCCTAACCCAGCTTAAATATACGCTGCCAAGCTTGGTGGTGTTCATTCAGACGCTGTCTTTCCGACAGACCTGTTCTTCACCTGAAGACGGCTACTCGCGTTGTGGCCGAAGCGTCGTGAGAATTATTTTACTATGTTTCATTTATATTACTTTATTATTTTCTTCATAGTTTTAATCGAACCCGCGGCGCCGGCGTGGGGTCTCACCTGGCCCATGAGGACGTCGCCGACGCGCGTGACGGTGAAGTTGTGGTCGCTGCCGGGGTCGAGGCTGTCCCGCCGGCGCTCCAGCAGGCGCGCTATGAAGTGCGTGTGCAGCTCCAGGAGGTCGTCCAGACGCGGGAACAGCCGCTCCACCATCTCCGCCGTCCAGCCCAACTCCTGGCGCAGGCCTCGCCCAAACACCTCCGCCATGATGCGCAGCGTGCGGATGTGGTGCATCTCCGTCTGCATCAGCTCTGGTGCGGCGGACGGATGCGGAGGGCGTGGGGGGGTGCAGGGGGTTAGGTGGCGAGGCGGTGAAGAGGTGCGGTGGTTGCGGTGGTGCGGTGGTGGGGTGGTGGGGTGGTGGGGTGGTGCGGTGGTGCGGTAGAACGGAGGTGCGGTGGAGCGATGGTAGTGACCAACACAGGGGGAAGTGTGTGTTGTGTGTGTGAGTGATTGTGTGTGTGAGTGATTGTGTGTGTGAGTGATTGTGTGTGAGTGATTGTGTGTGTGAGTGATTGTGTGTGAGTGATTGTGTGTGCGAGTGATTGTGTGTGAGTGATTGTGTGTGTGAGTGATTGTGTGTGTGTGAGTGATTGTGTGTGTGTGAGTGATTGTGTGTGTGAGTGATTGTGTGTGTGTGAGTGATTGTGTGTGTGTGTGAGTGATTGTGTTGTGTTGTGTGTGAGTGATTGTGTGTGTGAGTGATTGTGTTGTGTGTGTGAGTGATTGTGTGTGTGAGTGATTGTGTGTGTGTGAGTGATTGTGTTGTGTGTGTGAGTGATTGTGTTGTGTTGTGTGTGAGTGATTGTGTGTGTGAGTCATTGTGTTGTGTTGTGTGTGAGTGATTGTGTGTGTGAGTGATTGTGTGTGTGTGAGTGATTGTGTGTGTGTGAGTGATTGTGTGTGTGAGTGATTGTGTGTGTGTGAGTGATTGTGTGTGTGTGTGTGAGTGATTGTGTTGTGTTGTGTGTGAGTGATTGTGTGTGTGAGTGATTGTGTGTGTGAGTGATTGTGTGTGTGAGTGATTGTGTGTGTGAGTGATTGTGTTGTGTTGTGTGTGAGTGATTGTGTGTGTGAGTGATTGTGTGTGTGTGAGTGATTGTGTGTGTGTGAGTGATTGTGTGTGTGAGTGATTGTGTGTGTGTGACTGATTGTGTGTGTGTGTGAGTGATTGTGTTGTGTTGTGTGTGAGTGATTGTGTGTGTGAGTGATTGTGTGTGTGTGTGAGTGATTGTGTGTGTGAGTGATTGTGTGTGTGAGTGATTGTGTGTGTGAGTGAGTGATTGTGTGTGTGAGTGAGTGATTGTGTGTGTGTGATTGTGTTGTGTGTGTGAGTGATCGTGTTGTGTGAGTGATTGTGTTGTGTGTGTGAGTGATTGTGTGTGTGAGTGATTGTGTGTGTGAGTGATTGTGTGTGTGTGAGTGATTGTGTGTGTGAGTGATTGTGTGTGTGAGTGAGTGATTGTGTGTGTGAGTGAGTGATTGTGTGTGTGTGTGATTGTGTTGTGTGTGTGAGTGATCGTGTTGTGTGAGTGATTGTGTGTGTGTGAGTGATTGTGTGTGTGTGTGATTGTGTGTGTGAGTGATTGTGTGTGTGAGTGATTGTGTGTGTGAGTGATTGTGTGTGTGAGTGAGTGATTGTGTGTGTGTGTGATTGTGTTGTGTGTGTGAGTGATCGTGTTGTGTGAGTGATTGTGTGTGTGAGTGAGTGATTGTGTGTGTGAGTGATTGTGTGTGTGTGAGTGATTGTGTGTGTGAGTGATTGTGTGTGTGTGTGATTGTGTGTGTGAGTGATTGTGTGTGTGAGTGATTGTGTGTGTGTGAGTGATTGGCTACCACGATGCTCAGTCTGATCGCTACGCAACGGGGAGGCCACACCGAGTCCCCCCGGCGGGACGTTTGGCCGACACGGCGACACGGCGACACGGAGACACGGCGACACCGACGACACGGCGACACGGGGACACGGAGACACGGCGACACGGCGACACGGAGACACGGCGACACCGACGACACGGCGACACGGGGACACGGAGACACGGCGACACGGCGACACGGCGACACGGAGACACGGCGACACGGAGACACGGCGACACGGCGACACGGCGACACGGCGACACGGCGACACGGCGACACGGAGACACGGCGACACGGCGACACGGAGACACGGCGACACGGCGACACGGCGACACGGCGACACGGCGACACGGCGACACGGCGACACGGCGACACGGCGACACGGCGTGCACGCTGCGGTCAATCGATCGCCGCCGCCGTGTGCACTTCGGGGGTTGTGCCGCGTCGCGGTGTCCGACGTTTCGTTGAGATTTAGAGGATGCCTTTCAGCAAAGTCGTTGTGGTTTTGGTGGTAATGGTGTGCAAATGATCTCGTGTAGTGGTGTGGCCTGGCGCATCACAGCGTGGGCTACATTTTGTGCAGCGGTGTGGTTTAGATCTCTTGTAGCGGTGTGTCCGCCGCCGCTGTGTTACCGTAGATGACGTCCTGCCTCTTGATCTCGTCCTTGTTCTGCCTCTTGATGAACTTGGCGTCCACGGCGACGCTCCACGAGTCCGCCTCGAAGTAGCGAGCGTCCTCCTCCAGGCTGCCCATGAGGCTGCACTCGATCACGTCCCCTGGCGGGAGGGCAGCGGAGAGAGGGCAGCGTTGTGGAGTCTGTAGGTAGTGCTGAGTCTATGGGCAGTGTTGAGTCTATGGGCAGTGCTGAGTCTATGGGCAGTGCTGAGTCTATGGGCAGTGTTGAGTCTATGGGCAGTGCTGAGTCTATGGGCAGTGTTGAGTCTATGGGCAGTGTTGAGTCTATGGGCAGTGTTGAGTCTATGGGCAGTGCTGAGTCTATGGGCAGTGTTGAGTCTATGTGCAGTGTTGAGTCTATGGGCAGTGTTGAGTCTATGGGTAGTGTTGAGTCTATGGGCAGTGTTAGTCTATGGGCAGTGTTGAGTCTATGGGTAGTGTTGAGTCTATGGACAGTGTTGAGTCTATGGGTAGTGTTGAGTCTATGGGCAGTGTTGAGTCTATGGGCAGTGTTGAGTCTATGGGCAGTGTTGAGTCTATGGGTAGTGTTGAGTCTATGGGCAGTGTTGAGTCTATGGGTAGTGTTGAGTCTATGGGTAGTGTTGAGTCTATGGGTAGTGTTGAGTCTATGGGCAGTGTTGAGTCTATGGGTAGTGTTGAGTCTATGGGCAGTGTTGAGTCTATGGGTAGTGTTGAGTCTATGGGTAGTGTTGAGTCTATGGGTAGTGTTGAGTCTATGGGTAGTGTTGAGTCTATGGGTAGTGTTGAGTCTATGGGCAGTGTTGAGTCTATGGGTAGTGTTGAGTCTATGGGCAGTGTTGAGTCTATGGGTAGTGTTGAGTCTATGGGCAGTGTTGAGTCTATGGGTAGTGTTGAGTCTATGGGCAGTGTTGAGTCTATGGGCAGTGTTGAGTCTATGGGCAGTGTTGAGTCTATGGGCAGTGTTGAGTCTATGGGTAGTGTTGAGTCTATGGGCAGTGTTGAGTCTATGGGTAGTGTTGAGTCTATGGGCAGTGTTGAGTCTATGGGTAGTGTTGAGTCTATGGGCAGTGTTGAGTCTATGGGCAGTGTTGAGTCTATGGGCAGTGTTGAGTCTATGGGTAGTGTTGAGTCGATGGGCAGTGTTGAGTCTATGGGCAGTGTTGAGTCTATGGGCAGTGTTGAGTCTATGGCAGTGTTGAGTCTATGGGCAGTGTTGAGTCTATGGGTAGTGTTGAGTCTATGGGCAGTGTTGAGTCTATGGGTAGTGTTGAGTCTATGGGCAGTGTTGAGTCTATGGGTAGTGTTGAGTCTATGGGCAGTGTTGAGTCTATGGGCAGTGTTGAGTCTATGGGCAGTGTTGAGTCTATGGGCAGTGTTGAGTCTATGGGTAGTGTTGAGTCTATGGGCAGTGTTGAGTCTATGGGTAGTGTTGAGTCTATGGGCAGTGTTGAGTCTATGGGCAGTGTTGAGTCTATGGGCAGTGTTGAGTCTATGGGTAGTGTTGAGTCGATGGGCAGTGTTGAGTCTATGGGCAGTGTTGAGTCTATGGGCAGTGTTGAGTCTATGGGCAGTGTTGAGTCTATGGGCAGTGTTGAGTCTATGGGTAGTGTTGAGTCTATGGGCAGTGTTGAGTCTATGGGCAGTGTTGAGTCTATGGGCAGTGTTGAGTCTATGGGCAGTGTTGAGTCTATGGGTAGTGATGAGTGATTGGGGCCTCACCGTCATCCGGCAGCGACTCCATGGAGTTGCCCATGAGCCGGCTGAAGAGGGAGAGCGACTCGGTCGACTGCCACCGGCCGCGGTGGAACCCATTCCGGTCGGTGGACGCCGGCGCTCTGCGGTGCGCACAAAGGCAAAGGTCCCCCGTGTAGCCTCCAGTGGACCGTCAGGGGCAAGTGCTGTTGGCGAGCAGCGGGGCCTACCAGGCCCGGCACGGGCGCGAGAGGGGGCGGGCGGCCAGCACCACGCCCGGCCGCCTTTGTCTCCCCAGTGGCGATGTTTACTGCGCACCGCACTCGGTACTCATTCGAGGCCGAGAGAGGCCCAGGACCGGTTCAGATAATCGTCACCGGTGTTGGCCGTGAGCGGGAATCGTACTCAGGTCCCCAGGTTTGTAGCGCAGCGTGCTAACCGCTACACCACTGCTCCCGACACGCACACACACACAAGTGCACAAACACCGCCCATGAAGCGAGTGTGTGGGGGGGGTGGGGGGCTGGTGGGGGTGTGGGGGGCTGGTGGGGGGGGGGTGACACGGTACCCGTGCAGCTGATTGGTGGAGATGCTCTTGGCGAGCGCGGAGCTGGTGGACGGCAGCCGCCCCCGCATGGAGGCCGCGTTGATGGCCGCACGGCCGCCCCCCATGTCCGGCAGGTAGGCCGACTGGGGCCGCCCCCTCGTGAGGCCATCTGCGCCGCGACACACGGACACACGGACACACACACGCACCGACACGGACACACACACCGACACAGACACACACAGACAGGGACATACACATACCACACACGGACACACACGCACTTACCCACCCACTCATCCACCCACCCACTTACCCATTCACTACTCTGTAGATCACACGCATACCCAATTATTCAACCACCCACTCACTCACCAACCCACTCACCGCACGGCAGATCACTCATTCGCCCTCTCACCAACTCCCTCGCGACACCGCAGGTCACATACTCACCCGCTCACTCCCCCAATCACCACACCGCAGGTCACAATGCTTCCACTGTGGAATTCCCTCCCATCATCATCATCACCATCGTCGCCATCATCGTCACCTTGATTCCTAAGCACGTACAATGACAGCCTTGCCCAACTGAAGAAGCGTGATACACTCGTTTCACGTCTTCACACTCTGGGCGTGTCTATACGTGTGGGTGCTCAACTCGGTGCGGTGTGTAGTAAACATCGCCACTGGGGAGACAAAGGCGGCCGGGCGTGGCGCTGGCCACCCACCCCCTCGTGTGCCGTGCCGGCCTTCATAGCCGCCACTCGCTAACAGCACTTGCCCCTACAGTCTGTTAAGGCTACACGGGGAATCTTTGTCTTTTTTCAACAAAACCACAACTTCTATGGCCCCCTCCCTACGCCTGTTCCGCTATGTTTTTTATCTGCGTTGTGCCGAGTCGGTCGGCACGATGTCTGACGTTTCGCT